TATAATAGTATTTCATTCTGTTATAATTTTCGAGATAAAATATTAGACACAATTTTGAATATATTAATATTTTTTCTTGCCAAGAATGATCGGTGTTTTTTTTTAACACGCACGTGCTATTTTTTCTTAATACTAATACTAATATATATATATAGTATAAACATGACGAACCTTACTGAAGCTCAAATTTACACAGAAAAACGTGGTGGAAAAGCTCTCATTCAAACCGGTCCTACAACTTTCTTATTTTCGTGTCATAGAAACCACTTATGGGAGAGACCACTCGAAGTTATTACGAAGAGGTACGACTGGTGTCCGCTATGTCCTCATTCGAAAGGGGAACGTACATCAAGGTATATATTTGAAGATTTGTTAGGAAAAGAATTCCCATCTCGTGCACCAAAATTCTTGAATGGATTACGGCTTGATGGATATAACGAAGAATTGCAACTGGCATTCAAATTTAATGGCAAACAACATTATGCTCTTAATCCAATGTTTCATAAAAGCGGGCAAGATTTATATGAGCAAAGAAAGCGCAATCAAAAAAGCGGAATATCTGTAAGGAGCAAGATATATGCCTTATCGAAATTCCATATAACGTAGATCTTTATAACTTTATCCGAGATTCTCTAATCAAGAATGGATATCTCCAGAACTGTTCCAATTGATAATGGTTTTCTCTGGATTGGCTTTGTTTGATAATGATATTTTTGGATAAATTCATCTGGTGGGTACTCTAAACTTTCCATATCTACGATTTGCAATTCTTCGTGCTTAAATGGTTGACGTGGATTTCTACCCATCAAATTTTTGGTCGATTCAACCGCTTCTTTTTCAAGATAATATAAGACCGGTTGTGGTGGTTTTTTTCCAACAACGATTTTTCTGATTCGATAGACCCGCAGGCTCCAGTATGGGTCAGTTGCTCGACGTGTATGTCCACCTTCTAACTCACCGGGTTTTAATAAGTATCGAACAGTAGTACCCTTTGGTATTTGCTCTTCGTTTTCCCCAATAGGTCTTTTGGGTTTGATAGATGGTTTAGAGATCACTTCTTTCAACTTCATTGCGTTAGCAGGTGGTATATCTATTAAACGTGTCTTTGTATTATTCATATAATCAACAATTACTTGGAGAATTTTATTCCACAATCTCGATCGCTCTCCTGCTGGTAATTTTGAATCTATTGCATATTGGATTTTGTATGTCTTTTTTGCCAACTCTCGCTTATATGCCTTAACAATTGCTAGGCTTTCAAAACTGTAAAGGTCAACGACCCAGATAGTGACATTATGACGTTCCATTCCTCGCGAAAAATATCCAGAAAACTCTTTACCGCCATCAGCCATTAACAACTTCGGCCATGTGAGAGGATTATTTGGATCATTGTATATTTCTTCGATTGCATTCCAAACTTCCAGACTATTTTTCGATGTCAATGACCGTGCACCTTTAAACCATGTAGCAACATCTATGACTACCAAAGTATAAAGATATATTTTTCCACTTTCCTGATCATCACGAACATGAGGTAATAGGTCACACTGATGAACTTTATTAGGAATTTTAATCTTTCCGAATCCTGCTTGAGCTTTGATTTTTTGTGGTTGCCGATGAATTTGGTTAACATATTGGTTCTTTAACCACTTTTCGATATCTTGCAGGAAAAAATGATCGTACCCTTCTCTCCAACAAGCTTTTTGTAACTGTTTTGTGGTTGTATAAAAACCAGGTACGTGATAGTAGATTACTCTAAGAACAATTTTTAATTCTTCATCAGCACTGATTATAATAGTAGGTACACTCATTGCCATGATCGCGAAATGTTATAATTGATACTATAAACCAAGGCTGAATTTTTTTGTCATGAGTTTCAATTTCGATCCCGCCTATTTAGCATTGCTGAAAAGTAATCAGGAGTTGAGGAAGGAACTTAATGCAGAGGTAAGTATAAATTGTCAGAACGAGAAAAAAATCTGCACTCTCATAAAAGAACTAGAACAATGTAGTAGGTCCATTTCATTTCAGGATACTACAATCATAGCCCACGAAAAGGAGATTCAGGAACTCAAATCCCAAGTATCCGATTTACAAAAACGCCTCAGACTAGCTCTAAAGGATGCCGATAAAAAAGAGGGATTTCTACTCAATCGCGAGCAACAGTTGACTATACTCGAAGAGGAAGTGCTCGTATTAAAAAAGAAAATTCGGAAACTTACATCCAAGAAGTATAATAAACTTGCAATGTCTGATCCAATCCAACCACCTAGGCCCAATGAACTCAATAACATTTTTGAAACGGTTCAGGACGAATGTAGAGATATTGATGAGCATTTTCGAGGGTCACAATCTTCTCAATTGAATCAGAGAGATATTTTGACCAAACTTAATATCATCACTAGTTCCGCAAATAGATTGAAAGAAATCGCTGATTGGGAAAATGTCGAAGCACAAACCCAGTATCAGCAATATGGTCAGATGATTGCGGGGTTGAATAATCAAGCAACTCAACTTCAAGCCCAAATTCAGGGAGATGCGCAAATTATCATACAATTGCAGGCTCAGCTGGATACGGCGAATAATAATTTTGATCTTATTAATCAGGCATACAATTTCCAGACGGGTCAATTACAAAATTGCCAAGCCGATTTACAAGATTGGCGTAGAAAGCATGCAAAGAGAAAAGCTAAACATATCAAGCAAAAGGCGAAACACAAAAAATGGGAAAATAAGGAAAAAGATTCTCGGCTAAGAATAATAAATTTAAATCAGCAAATTTTAGCGCTTCAGAATAACCTGCAAAATATGACAGCTATAGGTGACTTAACTGGTATTACTCCTTTACTTGCAAATGTTGAATTTTATGATGGACAGGTTCAGCCCGATGAATGGTATAATAAAATCCACGCTATACTAGCTATTCCTGCGATAACAAATCTCAATGATGCCAATAAAGTGGCTATTTTAAAGGGTAGACTTGGCCGAAAATATGCGGATGTTCCCGATCAACATGCTGGAGATAATATTGATACTCCAGCTCGCTTTATTGCATGGTTGCGTCATAAATATCAGATAGAGACGATTGGGACACAGCAAGTTGCTTTCCAGAGATTAGCTTACGAAAAATTTTTACCTAATGATACGCCGGAAACATATGAGATGAGAATACGCCCCCTATTATTGGGTGTTGCTGACAACGATGCTAATGCCTTGTCATTCCTTATGAATCATTTACCTGATGAGATTTTTAACCGAATGGAAAGTACAAAACCTGAAGATACCAATGCATTTTTCACTAATCTTAAGAATTTATGGCTCAAACGTAGACCTTCTTCATTTAATTACGGAAATGCAAATAGTATGAATGGAATGGCATTCCAACCACCTCAGCAGATCGTTCAACAGCCTACATTCCAACCGCATCAGCAAATCATACAACATCCTACATTTCAACAACCTACGTTTCAACTGCCTCAACAAATCGTTCAACAATCCACATTTCAACAGCCAAAATCTCAACTATTTCAACGAAATTTTCGTCCCAAACTGAGAAAGCCAAGTACTATGAAGAGTTAAAAAATTATGCAGATATGGGTCTCGAAGCCGAAGATAACAGAGTACTAGAACCAATGGAAATTGATTACGCGATAGTCAATGTTGCGAATAAAATAGATCAGCTTGAAGGGTTGTCTACCACCCCGAATTCATCAATAAATCTGGCTAGAGATCCTAGAGTAAGTACTAGGCCGATCCAGCGCAAATGTGAAATTTGCAAAAAGCCGGGACATACTTATCGCAGTTGTCCCATAATTAAAAATATGATAGCTAATAATTCCAAGAAAAAAATTGGTCGTGTGAATTTTGCTGATGGTTTCCAACAAAGCCACTCTGATACAGAAGAAATTCCTGACGAATCTGCTATTTCCGATCAAGAAGATGATGGTGAATTTGATGATGATGTGCCTGATGAGGATTCCAATGTTAATGTATCCAGAATTAAAAAAAAGTAGATCGAGTATCACAAAATCCCACTTCAACTTTACTAGAGCAACGAATTCGTGAGATAATCCAAAGCGAGTTTATAAATTCTGCTTTATTAGAGGAGGTTATAAATAAAATCTTACGAAATTTCCAGAAATCTAATCCCGAAGTCCATTCTCAAAGCGATACTGAAAATGAAGAAGTTATCGAAGATATGGAAATTAACTTTGTTCGGGATAAAGATGCAATAGATGTTCCAACTGTTCGGGGGAAGATCAAACGTCTAGTACTTTCGGCGATTACGGTTGATCCTGGCGCTAATACTTTACTTATGTCTAGAGATATTGCTGAGCGCTTGGGTTTAAAAATCGATAAAAGTACTACTCATTATTTCAAGGGGGCGGCCACTGTTCTGACAAAATCAATTGGAATGGTTTATAATGTACCGTTAACCCTAGCCCCAGATTGTATATTTTATTTAGATTTTGTAGTTATTGAATATGATAAGCCTTTGCTGTTATTGAGCAATCCATTCCTCTATCACCACAAATATCAAATACTCGGGGATAAGGATTTACTGAAGATCAATTGCAACGGGAAAGATTTTTACATTCCAGTTACGATGCACAAGGTAGAAAATAAGATTGAGGTACATCACGTTAATGCAATTCCATCTATTTCTGAAGACAGAGATACAGAGTTAAAAAAAAATGCGTAAATTGCGAGAGATATGAGAAAAGTCTTTATAATGCATTTAAATCGATCACAGAACTTAATGATTGTAATGAAGCTCTGCAAGTAAAATGCGGAAATATCATTGTGTCTGTTGCAGATAAAGTCAATATAGATTAAGTAGTAGACATTATGCGAGCAGTATTAGCTAAGTTTTTATCCTTTCTTTTTATTTCTCGCTCAATTTGGGCAACTATATCTGTATTAGGAATGTTATTCATACCTCCCCCACTTATTTTTTCCATCTTTCCTCCACTATTAGAAGTTGAATGTGAAGAGCGGATCAATTTGGAACTAGATTTTTTCTTTTTTGTCCGCTCATTTGAGATATTATTTCCAGGCATAGATGCTATTTCAGAAGGAAATGTATTTTGTATCATTTGTTGCTTGCGCTGAGGCAATCCTTGGGCATGCCTTTTCCAGATTTCATAAATTCGGCGAGTTGAAGTGCTATATCTATCAACCATTTCCTTGCATGCATTTTTAATCGTTCCTCGAGATTGAATAATTTCCTCAATAGCTTCTGGAGATAGATAAGGTGTATCAGCACGATAATATTTTACAGTTATGCGTTCCATCTTTTTTCTAATCATAAAAATATATAAAATTTTCGAAAATTATCAGTAATTATCGGTAATTATATATAATTATTGTGTGATAATTTTCTAAAGTTACCGGTAATTATCTGATATTTTCTAAAGTTACCGGTAATTACCTGATATTACCTGATATTACCTGATATTACCTGATATTTTATAATACTTTATATCGGATTCTAAATTTTGTAAATTATCTTATGTATATTACATATAGTTTAACCAAAGATATATGGCTAATGTACATACGCTACAAGATATTAGCTCTAATAAAGGCCATCGTCTTGGCAGTATGCGTGAGCAAGAGCTCGAAGAATCTTTACATCATAGTTTAAAGTCCATATCCGAGCTAAATGATGGTAATGAAGCATTGCGATCTAAATACATGAAACGAGTGAAAGCTTTCGATCAAGAGAAAAAGAGGTGGAATCAGGATTCATTACGAAATAATACTGAGATCGAAAAGTTACGCACTCACACTTTGCAGGTCATTAATGAGCATGAGCAACTACAAAATGAAAATACCAATCTTATTTCTCATAACGCACAAAAGGATATTTTTATTGCTGAATCCAAGGCTGAGAATACTATAAAATCCAAGAAAATTAGATCGCTTGAGTCTATGATCGAGATATTGAAAGGTAAGTTGTCTTCAGCTCAGGAAGATGTAATTTCTATTCAAAATGACTCATTGAAAAAAGAATCCGAAAATTTATCTCTCAAATCTAAAATAGCCGAATTAGAAAATATAAAGAGTGAATTAGAATCGAAGGTCAATGAACTCGAGCATCTGAAATCGGAGGCTATATCGAAACCCATAGTTGGTGGGAGTGACGAAAAAAATATTACTAAGTCTGATAATATATCTTTGGGTAGTACTGATCTCAGTAAATATTTTATACGTGGAAAAAATATGGATCAAATAGAAAAAATCGATGGTGAGATTACTGAACTACCAAAAAATGATACCAAGATCGACCCCGAGGTAAATGATGAAATTAGCATTAGCGAAATTAACAAAGATAATATGCTAGTTTCATCGATAAACCCGGATATACCCCCAATTATATCTGAAAATATGACTCCGCACCTTGCTCAACGGGAAATTAATATGTCCTCATTAATTGAATCGAATTCTCAAATGAGACCTGGTCCCGAGGCTTTGCCTCCTCCGATAGGAGCAATCCCTATTGTGGCATATATTTTTCTTACTCTATTAATTATTGCGGTTATGTGGTTTGTAAGACACACATGGGGATTTGAAAGGAAAAGTGATCGGTTACGGGATATGTGGGCTAGGTATTAGGAACTTTCTATTTAAACTTCGATATTATTTATGTACGAAAAAAAATATTATTAATAATGTATAGCGGAGCTAGTGTCTAAAGACACATATGTATCTTAGTAAATTGTGGCGATCTTAGCTAAGAATACTTAACAATATAGGTTGATAATCTCATCAATATCCGCTTCGGATGAGTCATCTTTTTTACTACTCTGCATGATTGACACCGCTTGAACACGTGCAATCTCAAGACCAATTGCTTTGTACCATGTATTTCGGAATTCTGTTAATGCTTCACATTCTGATTCCAGGTTATATCGAAGTATATACTCTTCCAAAATCGTAACATTGGTCTTGCATTTTTGTGACTTCATAATTAATTTATATAACTCATTTCTATATTCTACATTAAGCTTAGACAATTCTAAAAGTAGATCTGATAATTTCAAACGAATGGAGTCTGCAATTTTATCTAATGCATTAAGATAATTATTATACCAAGTAGAAGCGC